TAGGGGTGTGTGGCCTAACATGCAAAGGAGTTCCTGCTACAAAAAAAGGCCCTGGGTTTTGACAACAAACAAGGTCAACAGAATAAGAAGGGAAAGGTGGGTGTGGCTGGATAACCACACTTCTGGTAACATGGGGGTGCGGCCTAATGTGCTAATGAGCTGTGCTGTCAGGGGTGTGGCCCAATATGCTAATGAGTTCCTGCTGTTGGGTGTAGCCTATTATGCTAATGAGTTCCTGCTGGGCTTTTTCTACAAAAAGAGCCCTGAATAGCCTTGTGAAGTAGGTTGAGATGAAAGAGAGTGACAGGCTCATGACCAGTCATGAACTTCACAGCTGAGCGCTGACTTGAACTGAGGTCTCCCTGTCCTAGCCCAGCACTCTAACCACTACATCCCACAGGCTTTTAGTGAGCATCTTCTGACCTCCTCTGGCAACGTGAAGGCATCATGATGTAAAGAGGTTCCCTTGAATAATGTGGTTAATCTGGAAGACCCAAGTCCAGATCTCTACTCTGCCATGGAAGCTTTTGGGGTGACTTTGGGCTAGTCACTCTGCCTTAGCCTAAACTACATTGGACTGTCTTAAAACCAAATCCAGATAACACGGTGAGATGGCGTAGTGACTTCAGAGTCGCCACTAGAGGGCAATAAAAGGATGCTGACAGCCGATGCTGAGACAAAACAATAGGAGGCCCGATGCAAGATGAAATGCAGACAGAAATTTGTGAGATGATGTGGTATTGGCAGCACAGTGACTGGAAAGACCAATGCAGATTGGAGCATAAATAGCACCTTGGAGCAATTAAGAAGAAGAAGAAATTGGATTTATACCCCACCATTCACTTGGAGTCTCAGAGCGGCTTACAAACCCCTTTCCCTTCCCCCTCCCCACAACAGACACCCTGTGAGGTGGGTGGGGCTGAGAGAACTCTGACACAAACTGCTCTTTTTCAAGGACAGCTGAGCCAGAGCTTGTGACTGACCCAAGGTCACATCAGCAGGTGCAAGAGGAGGAGTGGGGAATCAAACCTGGTTCTCCCAGATTAGAGTCCGCGCACTTAACCACTACACCAAACTGGCTCTTGAAGCAACTGAAGCAGGAGAGGGCGATGTTCTTTGACATCCGCCACCTCAACCAAAGGCCTGGTGGAACAGCTGTTTTACGGGCCCTGCAAAACTGCAACAGATTTCGCAAGGCCCTGACTCAATAAATCAAGGAAGCCACGGCCCTCAGTTTGCAAGCCCTGAGCAAGGCTGTTACCGTTAAGACATTTTTGTCAAAGTCATAGACCAGGATTAGCCCACATACCAATGATCTCCCTTTACTTTCTCCCACATCAAAGAATGGATAGTTTCAATTCACTCCTATGGGAGGGGGGAGTAAAAAGCTATGCTCGTAGCCAGGGGTCATTTCGTAGGAAAAGAGGTGCAGGAGCTCATTAGCATAACTCATTAGCATAGCTTATTTGCGTATGCCACACCCCCTGACATCACCGGAAGTGTGTCAGAAGGCAACATCCACCACTCAGGCGCCACTGAACTGTTTTGGATTGCTAGCTATTGAGGGGGGGGGGAATGTGCAGATCTGTCCTCGCAGAGAAGGGAGAGCTTGTACCTGAATAAAACCTGGTCTTAAAGGTGCCACTGGAGTGTTTTGAATTGCTAGCTATTGGGGGGGGAGATGTGCAGATCTGTCCTTGCAGAGGAGGGAGAGCTTGTACCTGAATAAAACTTGGTCTTAAAGGTGCCACTGGACTGTTTTGGACTGGGAGGCCGGGGGGGGGCTCTGCAGCTTACCTGGCTGCTTCTTGCTCTGACTGAGGGGTGCTGGGAGCAGGGGGTGGGTCTTGTTGCATGTGCCCGCCCCCTGGGCTCTTAACTGCCGGAGCTCCGCTCCTGTGCGCTCCTGCAGGAAAGGACCCCTGCTCATAGCCATTGTTGGGCCAAGTCTGCCCTCCATCTCTGATACTCAGGGCTGTATTTGACATGATCACGTGTCGGACTGGTGGATGCCATTATGTCTAGTTTGGCTCCCGACCTTCACCGGGTTCTTGAACAGGGTTGTTGCAGTGTGGGCCAAGTCTGCCCTCGATCTCTGATACTCAGGGCCGTATTTGACATGATCACGTGTCGGTGGATGCCATTATGTCTAGTTTGGCCCCCGACCTTCACCGGGTTCTTGAACAGGGTGCCATGTTCCTCTGGGCAGAGCCTTTGTATTCCTACAATATGGACACATGAATCTGCCTTCTACTGAATCAGACCTTCAGTCCATCAAGATCAGTAGTGTCTACTCAAACCGGGTGGCTCTCTGGGGTCTTGGGTAAGGGTGGGCATGAGCCAGCACACAAAGTAAAGTTTGTGGCGACTTTTGGCCGGTTTGTGTTTCGCAAACTGAAATTCGTGGCAGGTCAACCAGCACAAACTATCCACGAACTTTCAAGTGGTTTGGGGTGGTTCACGAATGGATACATTTCCAGACACTGTTCACTGAACTTCGAAGGCAGGGTGAGGTTCCGTGTGAGTTTGGTGTGTGTAGTTTGCCTAGGGTCCATTTGATACACTTTTGAACCTGCCCCTGACATTTCCCCTGAAAGCCCTTTCCTGAGGGCATCTTCTTTAGGGACCATAACTCAGACCCTGTAAGTCCAAACTGCACATAACTTGGAGGGCACATAGAGGAGCATCAGGGGGAGGTCCCCTATGAGTTTGATGCCTCTAGCTTGTACAGGGTCTCTTCTATACACTCCCGAACTTCCTGCCCGGCAGCACCTGTCATTTCTCCAGAAAGCACTTTCTTGGGGACACCTTTTTGGGGGGCATAACTCAGACCCTGTAAATCTAATCCTCACCAAACTTGGAAGGCAGGTAGAGAAAGGTCAGCCAGAGATTCCCTGTGAGTTTGGTATCTCTAGCATGCCGGGTGTGGTTGTTCTACTGTGTCACAAACCACACAAACTAAATCAGTTCGTTTGGCACCTAAAGGTTTGTTACCCTTCGTGGCTCCACGAACCAGGCATGCCACAAAACACAAACTGAAAGTAATCAAATTTTCCCAGTTCCTGACCATCCCTAGTCTCGGGTGGAGGTCTTTCACATCACTTTCTACCTGGTCCTTTCAACTAGAGAGGCCGTGGATTGAACCTGGGACCTTCTGCACGCCAAGCACATGCTCTACCACTGAGCCACGGCTCCATCAGTTACAACGATGAGCATTTGATTAGTAAACATCGATCAGTATTCTCTTACGAAATTAACATGCCTACACTGAGTTCTGCCCATTAGTGTCTTGGAGCGAAATCAACCTTCTCCGTCTTGGAAGGGGATTCCAAAAGTGGCTTCCCTTCTTTATCGAACCAGTGGGTTACTTCCTCCTCGTCTGAGTGGCTGCCCTTCAGAGCGAATCTCAGCTTAGCCCAGAACAGTTTCTGAGCCTCAGGGTCCACGGGCCAACTGATGTATGTTTTTTTCAACATCACCTTCCGCATCCGGTGGTAGACAGAAAGTTCCTTCTTGGGAATGTCCTCCAGGAAAATCGGAATCAGCACGTCCTTCAGCTCATCAAACAGCCTATAGCTGGCCAACTGGATCTCCATCGAGCACCACTCACTTTGTAGGTATTTACGGCTGATGATGCAGATGGTATGCCGGCTATTGTGGATGCTGTCCACTATATTGTCTATGATGTACTTCCCTGGATGGAAGTCCCGGTGGTGAAGACATAGTCGGAAGACGGGGGCTTCTCCGCCCTCCAGGGTGGGTACCAGGTGCTCCAGCACCCACTTCTCGTCGGTGGAATTGTAAGAGACGAAGGCGTCAAATTTGTAACGCTTGCCCTCGTCCCGCCTCCAACGATTGTTGACCCAAGCTCTCAGGATATATAAGTGGTATTTTAGGTGCCAGTAGGTGTGCTGGTAGAGCAACGGGAGTATCATGTGAAGCACCAAGATGGGGAAGGTGATCAGGAACAGGTACTTCCCCACATCTTGGTAGCAGACCCGGGTGTCGAAACTGTAAATGTAACTGGAATTCTGCCCGGAATTGCAGGTGTAATTGTACAGGTAAACCACCTGCACTCGGTCATTCTTCAGCCATTCCTGGAACCAAATGTTATCACAGGTGCAAGCCAGAGGGCATTTGCGGAGGTCAAGGCATCTCAGCGAAGTCAGATGCTCCAAAACGCTGCTGTTGATTGTCTGCATTTCGTTTTTCCCTAGTTGGAGGAAGTGGAGTCGGCTGAGGTTGCCAAAGACCTCCAGGGTCAACGTGCGGATGCCCGCGTTCTCCAGGTTGAGGCTCGTCAGTCTTCTAAGATTTTTGAATATCCCGGGGGGGAGATTCCCCATGCCATTACTGCTGTCAGCCAAGGTTAGATACCTCAGCTTTCTTAAGTCATCAAATGCGTCTGGCGAAATCGAGAGGATCTTGTTCTCTGACAGGTAGAGGTTGCGCAGGGAAGTAAGGCCCTGGAAGAGCTTGGGCGGAATGATTTTCAGGCCGTAAGGCTGCTGAGCTTGAAGCTTAAGATCGTAGACCTTGCTCAGGTTTGAGAAGGGAGGTGCGTTGTGTTGCTGCATGCTGATGTAGGTTATCTGATTACCCTTCAGGTCCAGCACTCTCAGAGTGCTCTGTACAGCGATGAAATCGTTCGAGTGAATGTATTCGATGCGATTGCCGTCCAGGTAGAGGTTGGAGAGACTCCTCAGCCCCTCGAGTGACCTGTTGGTAAACCTGCGGATGTTGTTCCCACCCAGGTCCAAGATACGGAGCTTCCCCAAGCTGTGGAAGATTAGGGGAAAGAGGACGGAGATACGGTTGTTCCGGAGGTTGAGTGTCCGGAGATTGTTCAGGTTATCGAAGCTGAGGTAGTAGAGATCAGTTAGAAGGTTGTTGTCTAAGCGCAGCTCCCGGAGTTTGTGGAGACCCTGCAGGGCCCTTCTGTCCAGGTAGGCGATGTTGTTGATGTTGAGATGGAGTCTGTCCAAATTAGGCGCATAGTCGAAAGCACGAGAACTGACCAAGAGGATGCGGTTGAAGCGGAAGGAGATATCCCTTAGTTCTTGCAAGACAATTTTGTTATGGCAGGACCTCAGTCTGTTTAGTAGGTTGTGCTCGACAGTCAAGGTCTGCAGCTTAGGCACTGTCTTGTTGAACAGTTCGCCTACACATCCCACAGTCCTGAGGCGGTTCCTTGAGAGATCCAGCAGCTGGATAGGTGGACAGTCAGAGAAGACATTGCTGCTCAGGTTCCTGAGGCTGTTGCTCTGCATACGTAGATTCAGGGAAACGTTATATTTCCTGAGTTTCTGGCAAACCCTTTGCAATTGGGAAAAGGTATGCAAGCGCAGCCCGGAGTAGTCCAAACTAGGAGCCCGTAGATCGGAAACATTCAAGAGCTGGAAAACATCTATTCCATTTCCCATCAGCTTCAGAGTGCTAAGATTACAGAGCCTGACTGTATCGAAGGAAGAGGCATTGGAGATGTTATTGTAGGACAGGTCCAGCGTTTTTACGTTCCTCAGGAATCTGCTCTCTTCCACGTCCATCCTACTCAGGGAATTGTTACAAAGCAAGAGGGTAAAGAGGGACTCGGGAAGCCTCCCGATGGACTTTAGGGAGGCCAGGTTATTGTTGCACAAATCCAGATGTTCCAGCCTCGTCAGGTTCTGAAGGCCCTGAAGCACTTCATCAAAGTTCTCCAGAACGTTAAACTGGAGCTCCAGTTTCCAAAGGTTCTGTAACGGACCAAAGGTATCTGGACCTATCGTTTTCAGCTGGTTATTGTTTAAGAGGAGGTAGGTGAGGCAGGCCAAGCCACGGAACATATCTTGGGAGACATTTATGAGACGGTTGGAGGAGAGGTTGAGCGTCTCCAAGGCCATGAGATTTTCAAAGGCGCCGCCTTCTATGCTCTGTATTTTGTTGCAGCTGAGCTGCAGGATCTGCAGCTTCGGCAGGTGGAGGAAGCTCCCATAAGGCAAGGACTGGATGGAGTTGTGGGACGCGTTGACCACCGTTGTGTTGTGGGGGAGGTCGCCCACAGCGCTGGAGATCGAATCCAGGAAGCGGTGCATGCATTTGAAGTTCCCCGGGTCTTCCATGGTCTGGATGCAGTTCCTGAAGCCATAGGAGCTGGCCTGCTGAGTGTTCAGCAGCGCAAAAGCCAAGAAAGGGAGGAGGAGTCCTGGTCTTCTCATTTGCATGAGCGGAATCCACAATTCCAAAATCCTTCGGTAGTCCAAGAGCCCTAGAACCAGAGAAGATTAAGTGGGAACTCAGTTATCACTTGGGAACCATAGTTTTACTGACGTCCCCGGAATCATTTCCTCCTTCCCTCCCCCCATCCCCAGTAAGTTCAACATGATATACAAGGAAGCTAGGAGTGGATCAGCTATTAAGGTTACCAGGAAAAGAGGAGGAAGAGGTGGAGGAGATTGGATTTATACCCCACCCTTCAGTACCCGAAGGAGTCTCAAACTGGCTTACAATCGCCTTTCCCTTCCTCTCCCCAGAAGAAGAAGAAGAAGAAGAAGAAGAAGAAGAAGAAGAAGAAGAAGAAGAAGAAGAAGAAGAAGAAGAAGAAGAAGAAGAAGAAGAAGAAGAAGAAGAAGAGGAGGAGGAGGAGGAGATTGGATTTATACCCCGCCCTTCACTTGGAGTTTCAGAGCGGCTTACAAACTCCTTTCCCTTCCCCTCCCCACAACAGACACCCTGTGAGGTGGGTGGGGCTGAGAGAACTCTGACACAAACTGCTCTTTTTCAAGGACAGCTGTGCCAGAGCTTGTGACTGACCCAAGGTCACATCAGCAGCTGCAAGTGGAGGAGTGGGGAATCAAACCCAGTTCTCCCAGATTAGAGTCCGCACACTTAACCACTACACCAAACAGACACCGTGTGAAGTAGGTGGGGCTGAGAGAGCTCTTTCGAGGACTGCTCATGAGAGAACAGCTCTGACAGAACTTGTGACTGACCCAAGGTTATGCCAGCAGCTGCATGTGGAGGAGTGGGGATTCAAACCCGGTACTCCCAGATTAGAGTCTGTGCTCTTAACCACTACACCAAACTGGCTCTCCAGTCTTGGAGGGTGAACTGCTGGCCTGAGGGGCTGCCCCCACACCAGGGCCACCTGGCCCCGAATGAGGGCTGGCCCAAGCCCTGCATGGGGCAGGCAAGGATGCCAAGAATCAGGCACGTGGGAAGTGTCAGGAAGAGATTTCACTTTAAAAATAATCTACTTGCTTTATGCTTTCAAGCGCACACGGGTATGAAAAGAAAACGACTTCAGGACTGATTTGTGAGAGCTTTTTTTTCCCTTAAGGGCATAGTGAGATAACGCTTGCTTGGGGGAAAGCGACTGAAGTTATATCTCAGTGATTTCTGGGAAACCATCTATTGTGTAGTGGGTACCGGGGCTTGCGGACTCAGGCTCACAGCTATGTGTGTGTGCTCTCGGGCCGGCTTTGGTGGGCGAGGGGGGCCGAGCGCGATGGTGCCCTAGCGAGGCGCCGTTCAATCGGCGCTCTGGATCGGCGGCTGGGGCGCTCAGCTCGGTCCTCCTGGTCGTTGTTCAGGGCGGCCGACATCCCATCCTCGTCGCCACTATTGTGTAGTGGGTAGCCACGTGAACGAACGACATAAGACCCTGTAGTGCACAGCACGCTTTATTGAGTACACAACAAAAGGGAAAAGGGAAATGGCCGGCCGGCCAACTATATACAATACCAGGGGACCACACCTGGGTCCCATTGGCGGGTTATACTATCCCACCTTGGTCCCATTGGTTTCCCCCAGAGGCGAGACTAGTAACCTAGTCCCGTTATTGTCCTGGACTGAGCTCAGGCGTGTGTGCTGACCTCCGGTGGTGGTCAGCGGACACAACACCATCCTTTGTTAAGCCGATGGCTTCTGCAATAGTCTGGAATTAATTCTTTTGATAACAGGACATTTCTCTCTCACTTTCTTGGGGATATGACATCCCACAAAGCCCTGGAGGAAGTCTGGAACTCATTCAGATCTGGAGAAGTAGAAAAGAGCAGGAGTCCACTAGCACCTTAAAGACCGGAGAAGTGAGCAGTGACTTACAAAAGCTCATACTCTGCCCCCAGTGTTCCCTCTAAGCTGAGTTAGTGTGAGCCCGCTCACAGTTTTTTAGCCTCCGGCTCACACATCTTTGTCTCAGCTCAGGAAGGACGGCTCCAGAGCAAACTAACTGACGCAGCAGCCAAAATCGCTTGCTCACAACTTTCATGCCTGGAGCTCCCAAGGCTCAATTTTTGCTCACAAGACTCCACAGCTTAGAGGGAGCATTGCCTGCCACGTATTTAAGGTGCTCTTGGACTCTTGCTCTTTTTCTACTGTTACAGACAGACTGACAGCTACCCACCTAGATTTGGAGAAAAGGGAGCTGTGGATTAGCTGAGATGTTGTTGGGGCAAGGATATTTCCTTTATTACTTATTCATTTATTACTTATTTCAGGGCTTCTTTTGTAGAAAAAGCCCAGCAGGAACTCATTAGCATAATAGGCCATACCCAACAGCAAAAACTCATTAGTATATTAGACCACACCCCCATGCCTTCCCTTGGCTTGCCTGGGCACCCTTCGGCTGCGGGGAATCCCGGCAAGCCGACCCTTGGACAGGCCGGGGGAGGCATTTAAATGCCTCCACGATCCTTCCAGGGGTCCCCCTGGCCTGCCTGCCCCGAAGTTGCCGGGGGGTGTTGCCACGCACACAGAGGTTTTGGCTGTAGTGGGCGTGGCCAACTCTGAAGCCAGCCGGAACTCCGTTCCTGTGGGTTCCTGCCCCAAAATAGCCTTGCTTATTGTTTATTAAAAACTTTTTAATGCTGTCTTTCCACCCAATGTAGGGTCCCCCAAGGTGGCAAGCACCCAAAAACATTCAAACAAGCTGTACGCTCACACAACTAAAACAATTAGACAAAAGACCTAAACACATGAACATGAGGGGGGGGGGGTCAGCAAAGGAACAGCAAACAAAAAAGAAAAGTCTTTATCCTCAGGCAGAAGAACATGAAAGATGGAGACAGACCGATCCCTGAGGTTGCCAATCTCCAGGTGATGGCTGGAGATCTTCCAGGATTACAAACTATTTCCAGGCGACAGAGATCAGTTCCCCCGGAGAAAATGGCCCCTGCCCCCAAACCCCACCCTCCCCAGGCTCCACCTCCAACAATCTCCAGGTATTCCCCAGCCCGCAGCCCACAACCCAGCCAATCTCCCATTGTGGACCTGGTGCAGGTTTCATTCTATCCACTGGAGGAATCTACTGGCTTCTGCTTTTCTCTGTTCCCATATTTGTAAATAGAAGAAATGTTGCGTAACTGTTCAGCACCCCCTCGCCCCAAAGAAACGAAACTTCTGTGGCAGCCAGTGTTCCCTCTAAAGCTGAGTTAGTGTGAGCTAGCTCACAGCTTTTTAGCTTCTGGCTCACACATTTTTGTCTCAGCTCAGGAAGGAGGGCTCCAGAGCAAACTAATTCATGCAGCAGCCAGATCAATCACTCACAACTTTAATGCCCGTAGCTCACAAAGTGGAATTTTTGCTCACAAGACTCCACACCTTAGAGGAAGCAGCGGACTGCAACGTCTCTGCAATGCTGTGTGTTTCATACTTCACCCTGTGTTTCAGATTTCTGTAATCCCAGCCCTGTCATTTCATCCTATCGATTGTGTTGATCTACACTGTAATGCACCTCAAGTCTCAGTGAGGGGAACTATAAATTACGTCAATCGATAAACTTCCATATCGCTTCGCCTCCGGAAATGGGGTGTTCGGAACCAGTGTTTCTCACCTCTTCTTGGTCGTGGTAGGGTTTAGGGTCGCCAGCTCTGGTTTGGGAACTACCTGGAGATTTTTTGGGGGGTGGAGCCTGAGAAAGGCGGGGTTCGGATAGGGGAGGGACTTCCGTGGGGTAGAATGCCATAGAGTCCACCTTCCCAAGCAGACTTTTTCTCCAGGGGAACTGATCTCTGTTGCCTGGATGAGTTGTAATCCCAGGGGATCTCCAGCCACCCCCTGGAGGCTGGCAACCAGTGCTCCCTCTAAGCTGTGGAGTCTTGTGAGCAAAAATTCTACTTGGTGAGCTGCTGGCATTAAAGTTGTGAGCGAGCGATTTTGGCTGCTGCGTTAATTAGATTGCTCTGGAGCCATCCCTTCCTGAGCTGAGACAAAAATGTGTGAGCCGGAGGCTAAAGAACTGTGAGCTAGCTCACACTAACTCAGCTTAGAGGGAACACTGGTTCCAATTTTGGGTTGGGAGATTCCTGGAGATATGGGAGTGAAATGTGGAGGAGGCTGGGTCTGGGAAGGGGAAGGACTTTAGAGAGATTGGGGGCTTTTTGCTGTCAACTCACAGCGGCGGCAGCAGCAGCAGAAGAAGAAGAAGGTGGGGCTGAGAGAGCTCTTTCGAGGAGTGCCCTTGAGAGAACAGCTCTGAGAGAACTTGTGACTGACCCAAGGTCACGCCAGCAGCTGCATGTGGAGGAGTGATGACTCAAACCCGGTTGTCCCAGATTAGAGCCCATTCTCTTAACTCCTCACCCCTCTAAAGAGCTTTTTTAAAAACCCCAATCCTTCGTGCCGCTTCAAGACTCAGAAACAATTTTTTTAGAAAAACAGAAACAAACAAAACCTCTGCTGCGGCTTCTACTTTTCACTTCCTCCCTCAAGAGGTGTGATGTGTGGGAAGGGATGGCCGAGGCTTTTCAGGGCCTGGAATCCAGTAGCACTGCCTGTGATTAATAACATCCAGGCGTCATTTCATAGAAAAAGAGTTAGGGGAACTCATTAGCATAACTCATTAGCATATGCCACACCCCCTGACATCAGGGGCCCGGCGGTGGACCTGCAAGGCCGGCAGGAGTGCAAGGAAGCCCCGCCAAGGCCCTCCCTGGCCCCAGGCAGGCAGGGGTGAGGAGAGGCGGGGGGGGAGCAACTTACCCTCCCTCTTCTCCTGCCTCCTCCTGGCTGAATGAGGGCTGGAAGTGGGGCGGCCGGAAGCAGGGGGTGGGGCTTCGTCATGTGCCCCACCCCCTGCACCTCACCCGGGGGAACTGCGTTCCCCCACATTCCCCCCCCGAAATAACCTCTGATAACATCCCATGAAACCTTTCTTAAAGAGACTGGACCCCCCCCCCCAGTCCTGTTGGCGATCCTACAGGCAACGGAATTCCCTACAACTCGAGCAGTTTATAAGTGGATCCCACTTCAAAACTGGATCTACTCTGAAGGGTGGAGATTCTTCAAGGTCTCCTCGTAGAAGCCTCGCCTGGCTACTTCTGCTATTAACAGATTCTCCTTTTAACTGGACATGGCAGAGGCAACTCTTCTGCACAAGGAGGGTCTGTCTCCCATGATGCTCTGGGGCCTTCCGTCCACTAAAGGGTGACCCCATATGGTTTTCAAGGCAAGGGGGACAAACAGAGGTGGTTTGCCATTGCCGGACTCTCTGCGTAGCGACCCTGGACTTCCTTGGTGGTCTCCCATCCAAGTACTAACCAGGGCTGACCCTACTTAGCTTACAAAACTATATTTTAAAAGTCCCACAGGAACCCAAAAATAGAATAAGGAAAAGAGAAAACGTCCGTGGGACGACCCAATTAAGTATGAGAGCAGAGCAGTCTAAATACATAAACCTCCAACATTATCCTTATACTAATGCTGAAGTTGCCCCCTCCGTGCGGATACTTAAATCAGCACGGAGGGGGCAGCTGGGGGGGGCGGGGAGGTTTGTGCACACGTGGGCCAGTCCCCACGTGTGCACAAAAATAAAAAAAGTTTAAAAAAAATTCGGGGCGATGTTAAAATCCCCCTGAAAGTGCAAGAGCGTCTCCTGCGCGTGCGCAGGAGACGCTCTGCGAACGCTGCTGCCGGGTGGGTGGGGAGGGGGGG